GAACCGCACGCTGGCCCAGCACGCAAAGGACATTGCCCGACTCCGGGATGACTTGCTGGACTGCCGGGCCCAGCTGGCCGAGCAGGTCCGGGCAGGGCAGGCCGACTAGGTGGGCTGGACAGGCCAACCCCCAGATCCCGCCAACCCTGGGGACCCTCCCCCAGAGCCCAGCCTTGCCTAGCAGTGCCTCCCAGCCTCCCCTGGCCAGCGCAGATGCCATTTCAGAGGGCCCTGATGGAACAGTGTTGGTCCGGCTCCACCTGACTGCCCAGGCACCAATATCCACGCTTGGTGCTGCACCAACTGGGCAATTCGGGACTGCGGTCAAGGCCAGTACGTCATGCCTGAAGGCTGCACCATCCACGGTTGCAAATTGCTCTCCTGCAGACACACCAGTTAGCATCTGCGCAGACCTTGAGGTCCCTTCTCAGACAGCAGTCTCTCCGCATCTCCCTTTGCCCATGGACAGCAGCTCCAAGCCCTTAGAGGCTTCTGGTCCCCCTGTCCCCTTGGCTTCTCAGCCACCTGGGCTTGGTTTCTTCAGGAAGGTGGTGCCCACTGGCACTGTCCTCCCACCTGGCAGCTTCAAGGATGCTGTTTCTGAACTAAGGACCAGAGGTTTCCACCACCCTACAGGTCCTTCAGGACAGAACGGAAACACAAGGACTCAGTGGAGAGTTCTCTTTATTCCCTTTGATTCTCCCAAAGTGAGGGCTTAGGCAGCCGTGGATTCCCAGAGGAAAGGATGGGGTCCAAGTGATCTGTTTGGAGACGCCTCCCAACTGTAATTTATCCTTTTCCTTCCCCTCCCCAAAGATGTTTTTGGGGTACTCTGGTCCCCACGTGATCCTCCTCTTCCCACTTGGAGGAGAATCTCCCTCCACCCCAGGTTAGGGCCTCTCTCCAAAGGGCGGCCCTCATGTACATCATGGCCTGAATGAGGCCAGACCCTGGGCAGGAGGCCACAGCTGGAGGAAAAGGGCTCCAGGCCTAGTTTCCAACATCCTTGGAAAACCCCAGCCCTGCCCGGATGTTCACAAGGTGGTGAGAAATTCAGGTATGAAAACATGAGGACACAAGCGTTCGTCTGGCCTGCGTACGCCCCAGAGGCCCATCCCTGCTGAGGCTCCCAGCCTCAGTTTCCTCACAGCAGCTCGGGCCCTTCCGTGCTGTTTTGCAGGTCCCTGCAGCCCCACCTTCTGGGTTCCTGACATTTGGTGTTCTGCCCCCCACTTTGGTGCCGTTGGGGGAGGGCAGGCCTGGATTAAAGCTTTTAGCCTGTCTAAAGGAACTTTCTTCCCCAAAGGCAGTAGGCGGGAAGGCTGCAGTGGGGTGTCAGCCCTGCTCCTTGGGCAGGAGCTCACTCAGCAGGTGTGCGGGCAGTGAAATGACTGGCAAAGCCTGGGTGAGGCCAGGCACCTGCCCTGGCAGGGTTTGGGGCTGTGTCCTCAGCAGAGTTGTGGGGAGGGGCAGGGATGGCAGCTGGGTATGTACTAAGCCAAGTGGGAGCCACCCCCCTCAGCCCTGGCACTGCCCTGGGATTCCCCCCTTCCCAGATGTTGGAGGGGCCCTAGAGTATCTGGGGTTGGGATGTGCTGAGATAATCAGGGCACCAGTGTGGGAGAGCAGTGATGTCTGGCTCCAGAGCTATGGGAAGGGGCCAGGGCTATGTAGGGTCTAGCTTCAGAGGGTATGGTCCAGACTCCCCGAAGTGGGTCGGGGGAAAATTTCTTCCCTGATTGTTGGCTGCCACCAACCCTTTCCTGGGCTTACAGGTCTCAAGCCTCATAGGGGCTTCCCTCTTGTCTCTGTCCTATCAGGAGTTGAGGCAGGGTGACAGGGATAGATATCAAGGGTATGGAGAACGCTGCAAGGACCCAGTCACTTAATGGCTACAGGGCAGGGTCATGCTGAGGCCTGTAGCACGGCTCAGCTGGCAAAGGCAGGGGACAGGAGAGGCCACAACTAGCCTGCAGTCCCCTCCTCCCCTTCAGTGGGTTGGCCCTGCAGCATCCAACTTCTAACCCCCATGCCCTGGGACATACAGTTCTGGGGAGCAGCCAGGGCTCATTTAGGCCAAGGTGTCGAGGTCCACAGGGGCCAGTGGCTCCCGCCAGTAGCAGAAGTTGCTGTATTCAGGGCTAGCCAAGTCTGTGCTGGGGCCACGGGCCACAGGTGGGAAGAGGAGTTCAGCCACCTCGCCGAGCTGTTCGTACCTACGGGCAGGAGGTGCTGGAGTGAGCCTCAGCTGCTGCTGGGCTTCGGCCCCATCACAGCAGGTGGAGGGGGTCCTGCCCGGGAGCCCTGGACCGGGGAGGGGGTCCCTGGCGGGGGCGGGGTGGCGTGGCACTGGGTCCCAGGGAGAGGCTGGGCTGCGGAGGCACGTGGTAGGGTTTGGCCTCACGTGGACTTGTGATTCTTCATGAGCTCCTGGGTGAGCTCTCCCCGGGGGTTGACTGTGAAGATGCGGGATGTAGGCAGGCCGACCTGCCGGTAGGCAGTGACATCCTACAGGAGACAAGGAGGGGTCGGTGGGCTGGGAGGTGTGGAGAAGGTGGCTCAGGCCCCTCGCCCCCGCCGTGGAGGGGACACTCACATTGGGCCTGTTCCCGAAGGCGGCATAGAAGGGCTGTTTCTGGGGCAGAAAGAGCTGCTGGATGTCACTCAGGCAGGCGATCTTGAACACCTCCGGCTTCTTCTCAATCACCTCCCTGCGGCAGTCGGGGCCATGGGCAGGGGAGGGGTTAGCGACCAGAGGATGGCAGGGTGAGGTGACAGTGCTGGTGACAAGGGTCTGACCCAGTGGACACCTGAGCGAGGTCTGATGATGGCCCAGCCTGGGCTGTGTGGGGCTGGCAGTGGGCCTGTGCAACCCCCTGCTGGGCTGTGGGCTCACATCCCACGGGGAGGTTACCTGTGCAGGGCGGTTACCTGTGCAAGGCAGAGAAGAGGCTGCTGGGAGACAGCAGGATGGGGCCCTCAGGGAGGCCACAGCCCCGCTCGCTCACCCACTGCAGGTACCCCTTGGTGAGGTCAGCCATGCCGATGGCCCGTGCCGAGCAGTACAGGAACTTGTACCCATTTCTGGGGGCGGGACAAAGGGGTAGCACAGAGCCGTCGAGAGACCAGCCATCCCCATCTCGCCTTCTGGGCTTTGGCCAGCTCAGCCCAACCCTGGAGCCCCTGCAGGGAGGGGACTTAAGAGCTGAGCTGAGCCAGGGCTGACAGGTAGAAGGAGCGTGCATAGAGTCCTGAGGCCCAGGTGGACCAGGATAGGTGAGGACTTGGGCAAGTCTGTAGGCTTTGCCTACGGCAGGAAGGCCAGCAGCTAGACTCAGAGCCCGACCACAGCCCCAAGAGACAAGTCTCTCACAGGAGAACTGAGGACCAGTAGGTCTTAGCACGCCAGGGACCTGCCCTGGTCTCCTTCCCTGTGGGTCCCCAAGCCTGGCTTCCCGGGGCTGAGGCCAGGCCATTCCTCCCTCCCTCGGGTCCCACCCCAGCCCAGTCCAGGCACTCACAGGTGGATTTTGTGGTAGAGACTAGTGATGCCCTGATGTGTCCAGTCTTTCCCCAGCTGGGGCAGAATGTGGCCCAGGGCATCTGACCTAGACCCAGAGTGATGGTCACGCCAAGGCAGCCCCACGTGGCCCTCCTGCTCTGTGGGTGTGGCCGCGCCCCGTCCCAGGATGGCCCATCAGGAGGGGAGGGCCTCTCTCCCTGTCCCCCCTCCCACAGCACAGAGGGAGGCGAGTCCCCAGGCCCTCCCTCTCCCCCTCCACAGCCGACCGGGTCTCACTTGGTGATGGTGCCATCAATGTCTGAGATGATCACCCTGTCGTCCCATTTCCACAGGTAGATGGTGGCCCTACAGCGGCAGGTGCCCTGGTACTGGGTGGTCACGCTGAAGACCACCTTGTTGGCACCTTCTTGCAGGTTCAGGCGCCGCTGAGGCCAGGCAAGGGGGGAACTGTGAGCTGCCGCAGCTGGACACTGTCTGCCCACCGCCACCCCCCGCCCCAGAACTGTGGCCTTCCATCTCCACGGGCCTCTCTATCTCCTGTTCCTCCCAACTCAAGAACCTTCCTGAGTTCATCAGAGACAGCCATGTAGGCAGAAGGTGACTGCAAGGAGGAAGTGAGGGGTGCTGATGGGGCCTGCAAAGCTCCAGGCACAGGAGCTTTGAGATGAGGCTCACGGACCAAGCCTGGCCCATGACCCCATCCAGGTTTCTCAGGTCAGCCTTGGGGCCAGCACTGCTCTGGGCAGAGGGACACCCCACTCCACAGAGGGGCCCCTGTGGGGATCTTCACAGGCAGCCTCCTGCCTGGGGCTAGGGTACCTGGGACACCCCCCCCCCCCCCCCCCCCCCCCCCCCCGCCACACAGATACACATATTCACTCTCACTCACACCCGCGCGCGCGCACACACACACACACACTCACGAGCCGAGCTTCTCCCGGATCTCATAGACGCTGCTGATGTCCTCCGTCTGTTTCTTGAGCAGCAGCATGTCTGGGGGTGCAGGGAGAGGTGGAGGGAAGCTCCCTGAGCGCCCCCCCCCCCCCCACCCACCCAAAGAGAGACCTAGCCCTGTCCTTGGTCCAAAGATAAGGATCAGGGCAGCTCTTAGCCACAGCCTGTGACCTGGCTGACCCCGAGTTGGGTGTGAGCCCCAGGGAACCACACAGAGGGCAGCCACTGTGTACCAGGCGTGCCAGACTCTCCTGGGCACCTCTCTGACCACAGAGTTCCACTCAGGAAGAAGGCATGACAGGAGCCACAGTGACTCCAAGGTGTGAGTTGGGGACCTGGGGTTGCCAGAATCTGAGAGGCTGTCATCGGCCCTTTGGTTCCTGTAGCTCCCAAAGGCAGGCCCAGAGCCAGCCAACCCACCACAGGTAGGTATTTTAAGATGACATAAGAGGGGGCTCTTCTAGCGAGAACATCCAACAGAGAATGGGCTGGCACGTGAAGCGGCACGGAAAGCTGTCCCCGGATGACGCAAGCAGAGGCCGGCAGGCGGCTGCCACAGGGATGGATTCTGGGCTTTGCTGAACACAAGCCGTTCCTCAGCCGGGCCCTGAGGGCCTCGGGAACACCGTCATCTCAGGCCCGCCACTCCCACACCTGCACACACTTACAATCTGATTGGAGGAGAGGCGGAGGGACTTCTTGTAGGTAGGAGTGTGCGCTGGAGGCGAGAGGGGCGGGGACGGGGCCTCCAGAATGACGGGGCTGTTGGGGGCATCGTCCTCACTGCTCGGGGCTTCGGTCTTCTCCCTGCGGGCCGCCCGGCGCTTGAGCCAGTTCCCCCAGCCAAGGCCTTCACTCCTGTAGATGCCCACCCCTCACCCAGGCCGCAAGGAGCCTGCTGCTGGTCCCTGCCCCTCTAAGGACCCCTCCCTCTAGGTGCCACCCATTTTGGGGGTGGCAGCAGACATCAGGATACAGGCCAGTAGTCTACACCCAGAACGGTGACTGCAGAGCTGGAGCAGAGACCCGGGGCGCCCAGGCCCCAGGCCGCTCTCCATAGCCAGGATGCTGGTACCTGCTTTGGGGATGTGTACCAGAAAAACCTAGAATTGCATCGTGGCCAATCCCACCTGCTGTGGGAGGCAGTCAGCCCGTCCTTGATCACCCCCCACCCAGCCTTGGACATTCTGGGTCACTTCAGACATGAAAAAAGGAAGCAAGGTCAGCTGGCCCCTGGTGGAGAAAGGAAGCCCTTCTCCGCCTTCGTATGGTAGCCCTTTGTCTGGGCCGGGAGTCTGGGTACCCATTCCAGCCCTGTCACTTCCCGGCTGTGAGAACTGTGGTGTATCTAGGCTTTCCCATCTGTGACATGGGGACATGTCCCAGGAGAAAGAAGAGGTGTAGAAGTGATTGCAGAGTGACAAAGACGTGCCACGGCAGGGGAGGGGTTCTGGCTGCACCCCCGCTCCCACAGTGATCTTTCCCAGGCTGAGCTCCAGCCATAGAGCCCCAGGCAGGAGATCCAGCTCACCCCAGCTGCTGCTGCCGCGCTGTGGTTTTCTCCCTCCGGGCACTGCACTGTGGAGAGAATATCCATCTAGTGAACTCCGCCTCCTGCCTGTGCCGGCCCCGCCCTGTGGACATGACCACCCACCTCCTTGGCCGGAAAGTCCCTGCATCGCCAGGAAAACCACCACGGCCCTCCCTTCCGGGGCATCTTTTCCTTCTCCAGCTTGTCCACGGTGCTCTGCGGGCAGATGAAGGCCATGGCATTTTTTCCTGTACCACACAAACCCACCTTACGTTGCCATTGGGGCCCCCATGGGCCCAGAGTCTGGGGCTGACCCTGCAGCAAGGTGCTACCAACATCTGGAGGCTAACGAAGCATACTCACCCCCATCTTGGGATTCTGGGCACTGATTCAAGGAGATAAGCATGGGAGAACAAGGGCCACTTCTGCCCGCCTCCACTCCACCCCAGCCCTGACCCCGCCCGCCTCCAGCTCTAGCCCAGCCTTGGCCTGGCCTCCAGATCTTGTGGATCAGTCTCCCTATTCCAGTAACTAAAGTCAGCGCTTTGGGAGGTTCTCAAGATCTGGGTCTTCCTGCATGATGCCACCAACTGGTGGCAGGGGACAGTCTCTAGTCAGTAGCACCCTCAACCTCCAGGACCAACATGGGCAATTCCTAAGGTCAGTGATCTATCCCGTGAACAGCCTCCCTCTCTGCTTGTTACTGTCATTGTCTGGTGGGGACAATATGACCCTGTGAAAAATTCTGATTAGATTTGTGCTAGATAAATCCAGGGAGGGCCCGGGCCCACCTAGGAGACATATCAGCTTCCTGCAAACACAGAATGGAGAACCCAAGTCGAGGAAAACAGCCAGGGTGTCCACTGGGGCTGGGAACAGGCTGGGAGAGTTTTCCCCTAGGTGGCGGGTCTCTCTGGGTAAGGTCAGGAAAGCCAAGCATGGGGGGACCCTCTCTCTTCCCACAAGCTCTGGGTCCTTGCCCAAACCCAGAGCCAGCCAGAGGACAGAGCTGAGCTTCACCGAAGGGAGGCACCAGCTGTCAACATCAGGTGAGTGAGGTTCTTTGGGCAAGCCAAGCCAGTAATGATGGGCCAGACCAGGGTGGGGCACTGGATGGCTCCCAGAGGGGCAGAAGGGGCAGGTGCAGGCCAGCCCTGAACAGGATAGAGGTTCTGGGAGTGACTATAGCGGCTGGTCCTTCCCACCTCTGAGCATCTGCACATGCTGTTCCCCACCCCTTGCCTACTCATCCTTCAGACCTCTACCCAGTGGGCACTTGCTCAGCAAACCCCCTGTTGGAGGCTCTCAAAGCACCCCAGACCTCTCCTTCCCAGTACTCACAGTTGAATTTTATATTCATTTGTATGAGTCTTTGATTAACTGTCTTCCTATGAGGGCATGACTGTCCCCAGTCTGGCCCTGGCACACAGTAGGTACTCAACAACTGTGTGCTGATAAAGCAAGCGCCTGCAGCCCAGCCTGGAGAGGGTCTCAGAGGAAAGTGAGGGGTAGGACCTCCATCTCCCAAGACTGTCTCGCAGATCCAAAAACCTCCTTGAAGGCTTTTGGCATGTTGAAGGCATGTCCCTGTCGCCTCTGGTTTGTCCTGAATTCCTTTGAAGTAAAGTCTAAATCCAATCCAAATGGATTCAGCCATGCCAGGAAACCAGGGAAGCGGGGGGTGCTTTGTCCACACAGCCTGGGGCAAGGCTTCAGAGGACCTGGGTCTCTTCTCTCAGAGTGGGTCCTGCAGCCCCAGGCCCATCTCTGCCCACCCTCCACTTCCTTGCCAAGGGCCCCCGACCCCAAGGCTAGGGCCACGTCCCCCAGGAGGCCCAGGGGTGCTATAACCATTACCTTGGGCAAGTTTTTCTGGAAAGCTTGCAGGGAGAGGATCATGGAGGCAGCTACAGCCCAGTTATAATGCCTGGAGAGACAGATAGGGTGTTAGGGCCGTGGACGGCAGGGCGATCCAGCGGCCCAGTCCCGGTACCCACTTCTCGTTGATCTTCACCACCAGGTTTGGGTCGTTCAGGAGGCCGGGGTTTTGGGCGAGGTCCTGGTAGGAGACGATGTGCTGGTTGAACTTCTCTGGGCACAGAGGCAGAGAGCGAGGGGTGAGGCCAACACATCCCACGCGACCCGTTGCCCCCGCCCCTCCTGGCTGCCCCACCTCTGCTGCTCAGGCCTCCTGCAACTTGGGTCTTTGACCTAGCAGGGCTCCTTGCTACCTGGGGTTTTGGCACCTGATGGTCCCACCCCAGGCACTTGCCATCCTGGATTCACAGGATAAGTCACAGCTTAGCATGACTTAGCATTTGCTTCACGGGGTCTTGGAGATGCCCAACGCTTGCTGGCCAAGGGTGGGCTCCACAAACCCCAGAGTCATGCACACCTCTGCTACCCCCACACCCCGGGGTCTTCCCTCTCTTCTCCCGTCCCCTGGGCTCAGTGACAGTCCTTGGAGGGGTGGGGGGCCACAGTTGAGCATACCCACAGAGATGTCTCCGCTGTCAGCCAGCCCCCCCGAGAGGGACAGCACGACTGTGTCCGCTGTGTCCGGAGTGGGCTCTGGCTCCCGCTCAGGGTTGCAGTCCCCCAGAGACTTTTGGCTTCCGGCTTCACTCCACTTCCTGGCCCCCAGCCCACAGTCGCTGGGGACAAGGGGGCCAATAGTGACATGAATACAAGGAGGCTGGGAGGAGGGGCTGGAGCCCTCCCAGGCCCCTGATAGCTGACTCCTAGCCCCACAGGCCCCAATCCCAGGACACCCTGGCGTCCAGAACCCAGGCACCTCTGGGGGAAGTAAAGGGCTGCATTCTCAGAATCCAGAGAGGGCAAGTCATCCAGGTAGATTTCACTGGGGCCCAGGTGCTGGCTTCTCTTCAGGGAGCCTGAGAGCAGAGGAGGGGACATCTGTAGACCTAACCCGTGAGGACTACTATTGTGATCAGTGTGCGTCCCCCTGCCTTTGAACGCCTTAAGGTGGCACTGTCCAGTAGAACTTTCTGCAACGCTAGAAAAGCTCTATGCACTGTCCAGTAGGGTAGCTGCTGGCCACAGAAGGCTACTGGGCATACTTAAAATGTGGTGTGATGGAAAAATAGAATTTTAAGTGTTATTTAATTCTTTTTTTTCTTTTCGCCATGCCGTGTGGCATATGGGATCTTAGTTCCCCAGCAAGGGATCGCACCGCACCCGTTGCAGTGGAGGTACGGAGTCTTAACCACTGGGCCGCCAGGGAAGTCCTGCAAGTGTTATTTAATTTTAATTACCTTAAATTTAATTTTAAATAGCCACATATAGCCAGTAACTACCCATCTGGATAGCACAGGTGCCAGCTTCCCCTCCCAACCCTCTCCCTGGCCTCGCTCAAGACACACCAGCTGCCTCAGTTCCTAGACATGAAACCTCTCTCCCTCCTCATGGCCTTGATGTTCTCTCTGCCTAGAATTCTCTTCCCCTGGTCCTCACTTGGCTGGATCTTTATGGCCCATGTCTCAGCTCAGGCATCACCCGCACAGAGAGGCCATCCCTGGCCACATGATTTAAATAGCCCCCGTCCCAACCAATGATTCTGTCCTGCGTCCTGCCCCCACAACATCATGCTCTTCCTGTTATGCATCTGTCATCTGTCTGCCTCTCTGGACTGTGAGTCCCATGAGGGCCGGGGCCAGAAACAGTGCTCGGAACACAGTAGGCGCTCAAACATGCTCGAAATTCCAGAGTCCACCCAGGGGATAATGTGAGGCCAGGGAAGCAGTGGAAGGGGTCCAGCTATCACTCACCTTTCCTCCTGGAGATCCCCTCCGGCTGCCCTGTGCAGGCGGGGGCCTCCAAAGCAGCCCAGCTCCACGACTTAGAGGGAGGAGGGAGGCCCACATCCCCGGAACTCTCAGTCTTGGTTTCCTCTCTCTCAGGGGGTTGGAGAGGGGGACCCACCAGAGCAGGCACCTCCGTGTCAGGGTGAAGAAAGTGGGTGCCAGGCCCTGTTTGCAGGATTGGAATTCCCGAGGGGTCCACGCCAACCACAGAGGCAGAGGGGGTGCTGGGCGCCCCCTGAGGTGGAGAGGCTGTCTTGGAGCTGCCATCAGGGACCACTGAGGATGCGGGCCACTCAGCTTTGCCCACCTTCAATCAAACAAATGGGGGAAGACAGGGGCGGTGCAGGGCCTGCCCCCCACACCCCACAAGGCTTCAGGGAGGTGGCCCAAGTCTCAAGTCACTCCAGTCCTGACCCGCAGGGGCCACGGAGCCGCTGAAAGGTAAGGATGGAGGGTTGACACAGGGGAACTCACCTTAGGCAGCCTCCCCCAGGCCCACTGCATGTGGGACTCAGCTCTCAGGGGGATGGGTTCGGGGGTCCGCAGCTCCAGCTCCGAGTCACTCTTGGGGGATGTTAGCCCACCCGTTGAGAGGCTGCAGGAAGCAAGAACTCAGAGGCCCCCAAGCCAGCCTGCCACCCCCTGCTGCCCTCCTGGGCCTGGGAAAATTTTTTCTGCAACACGTATTTATGCCTGTGTTGGATCCAGAATGTATAAGGAACTCCTATAAATCAACAATAAGAAGGTAATCCAGTAGAAAAAACAAAACAAAACGAAACAGTGGGCAAGGTTGTGAATTCTTTACGGGTGTAGAGTTTCCACTAAGGGTGATGAAAAAGTTGTGGAATCGGATAAGGGGTGATGGTTGTACAACACTGTGAATATACTAAATGCCACTGAATTATGCCCTTTCAAATGGTAAATTTTATGTTATGTGTATTCTACCACAATAAAAAAAAATGGGCAAAAGACTTGAATGTCAACACTTTACTGAAAAGACATACAAATGGCTGGTAAACACAATAAATATGCTCTATGTCATTACTCATCAGAAAAATGTAAATGGAGAGCCCTCTGAGACCTTGGCTTTGAGTCTCTGCCTGTAGCCCACCTGGACTCTCACCTGGCCTGGGGGGGCCACTCCCCATCGGAGTAGGGGTAGATGTCTTTCGGCTGCAGTGAGGCCTCTCCTTCTGGCTGGACACTGCTGCAGGACCACAGGGAAATAAATGGTCACTGATAGGACAGGCAACCTGGGCAGGGCATGGAAGCCTGGACATCACGGGCTTGATGAAGCAAAGCAACTAAAGGCCAGAGAGGTCAAGGACCTTGCCCAGGGTCACACAGCATCAGCAAAGGACACTGTGCTTGAACCCCAAGTGGCATTCCTACACCCTCAACCCCCTACATACCCCGGGGGCTCCAGCCTCGGCTTTTCCAGCAGGGATAGCTCACTCCCAGCGCCTGCCTCCAGCTCCTCCGAACTAGAATCGGCTGCCACCGTGTCCTCCTTCCGCCTGGGTTTCCTCCTGCGACGCTTCTTCTTCCACCCCATGGAGGCTGTGCCCGCGATGCTGGCCTCAGGCTTGCTGGCTGTGCCCAGCTGGGAGTCCGAAGGGAACCCAGACAGGCCCCCCCAAGGGATGGGTAATGTGCACAGGTGGGGAGGCATGTCTTCCTGTGGAGCAGATCAGGGGCAGGGCTGAGGGGTCTGCAGCTTGGGGGCAGGGGACAGGAAAACAGGCCTGGAGGCTGGACAGAGCCAGTGGTAGCATGGCCTTGTAACTGTTGCTGGCCTCAAAGTTCCCTAACAGAGATAAAGCGGCCCCAATCCCAGGGGTGCCTACACCTCTGGCAGCCCATGGCAACCACACAGTCCAGACAGAAACCTGGGCATCAGCCTCTCATCTCCCCTGCCCACATCTACCACAGCAGACATCTACTTCCCCTTTTAAGACTCAGCCAGGTGTCACCTCCTCCAGGAAGCTTGCCCTGACTTTTTTCAGCCTCAGTTCCAACCCCCTTCGCTGCAATAACCAAATAGTTCTTTCATCTGTTGTTTACATGTCTGTCTCCCAGGCTAGTCTGGGAACCTTCTTTTTTGGCAGGGGTCACCCCTCATCCAGGTCTACTGCGGTTTCTGGCCTACAGTACAGTAGGAGCTCAATTAAAGTTTGTCAAAACTTTAAACACCTCTACTGGCTTCTGCTGGGCCCTGCCTCCCTTCTGCAAACACCTCTCTGGTCCTCCCCGGCTCCCACACTTCCATGTTCCAGCTGCCCCGAGCCGGCACCAGATCCACAACAAACCATCTTATGCTTTCCAGTCCCGGCCATTGCTCGGCACCCTCCTCCTCTCCAAGCTGCCCAGGGAGGGCCTCCTTTTCCCCCTTCAGGGGCCCAGCTCAAGTGTCCTCTTCTGAGAAAACTTCCCCCAAAGAAGCGCCAGCCCTTCCTGCCCCCATCCCTCCCCAGGGTCCACCAGCACGTCCTGATGCCCCTGCCTCAGACCCTCGCCGATGGGGTCCTCCCCGCCTGCAGGGAACACTAGTGAAGAGACAGGGCCAGGCAGGCCCAGAGGCACTTACCACATCGCTCTCCAGCTCCTGGATGAAGAAGGCCTCCCCGCTGTCCCCCAGCTTCATGTGCAAGTCCACTGGCTCCCCATTGATCTCGATGTCTACCTGTAATGGGGTGTGGTGGGATGGGGGTCCCCACCGTCGGATCTTACTCCCATGCTTCAGTCCTCTGGACTCCCAGCTGGTCCTGGAGACACAGGCTCCCTGCTTCCCCAGAGCACTGCACTTTCTGGAACTCTCTCCCCCCAGATCTCGGGGAGCCCCCTGCTCCCCACTCTGAGGGTCTCTGCTCACCATCTCAGTATTCTTGTTTATGCCTTGGTTTCTGTGTTCCTCTCTCTCCCACAGCCCATAAGAACAAGAACACGATCCAATCTTGTCACTGTGTGTCTCCAAGCCACAGAAGAGTCCCCGAACATTTGTGGGTAACATGAACAGTAAGAATGACCCTTTCCTGGGCACTTCGTCCAGTGTGTTACATAGACCATCTTATTTAATCTTCACAGCAACCCCTGGCAGTACCTCCCATCATTAGCTCCACTTTATAGATGAGGAAACTGAGGCTCAGAGGGGTTAAGTAATTCTCTGGGAATTACTATGGACCCAGAAGGTCTGAATCCACAACGCAAGCTCTTAACCACTTAGCTATACTGTCTCCCGCAAGGTTACACTCTCCCATTAGGATTTTGGAAGATTCACAGTCACTCCAGTGTAAAGGGGGTTTGGGCCCACCAAACCTCTATTCACACACCAGAACTCAGTGCTAACAAAAATCTGTCACGTTCACCTGAGCCCCATGAAGACGGTGCTGGTTTCCTAAGAGTGAGGAGGTAATTTTTGAGTATCAGCCCCATGCCTCGCCCTGGGACAGTGTTAACACCTCTTATTTAATCACCAGGTAATGAGAGTGTATCAGTTTGTTCAGGTGAGGTGACTTACCAGGAATACACAGGTAAGGTCTCAGGAAGCTGGAGCCAGGTCTGATGGCCCCAGTACAGAAGGCTGCCCCACTGTGCAGCTTCCAGGGGAAAATAGGGGCCCTCCTGGACCAAAACCCCCAAACCAACCCAAAACCTTCCAAGAAAATACAAAAGAAGGGAAGCCTGTCCAGAGGACACAGCCCTGCCCCGGGGAGGTTTGTTTCGTGTCCTGGGACTGCAGTGACTACCCTGGCTTCCTGAGTGCGCCCTGCAGAGGTCCCTCTACCGCCATCACTCACCACCTTCTCCCGCGAGTGCAGGACGCCCAGCTTGCCGAAGCGCACGTGGAAGGGTGAGCACCGGAAGGAGCCGTCCGCCTGCCTCACCACCAGCACATCGATGCCCCCACTCAGCGTGGCTGGGTTCAGGCCCCTGTACAGCCCCTTCACCGTCCCAAACACAGTCTCCGCCAGCTGCCCCACGTAGTTCATGGCTGTGCTGGTAAAGGGAGGTGGTGCTGGGACCAAGGCCTGGCCCACCGGCCTCCGTACGGGGCTCCGCAGCCTGACCCCTGGGACCCCAGGCTTACAGCGTGTGGCCCTCGGGGCGCCTCTGCAGATGGGCAGCAGTGATGGGGTGGGAGGTGCGACTGAAGACGTGGGCTCTAATCCCCACCGGCTGTGGGGCTCTTGGACGGCCACCTCCCTTCTCCAAGGGCTGCTGCCCACATCTGTCAAATCAGGGCACCGGGTAAGGCCATCCGGGGCGCTGTGAGCCTCTAAATGCCATGAGTAATGATAATGACCGCAGCTCATTTCATGTTTACAACAACCTGCCAGGCTGGCCGAGCAGGTTTCATTATACCTGTTTACAGACAAGCCAGCCCAGGCTCAGAGAGGTGGAGTGACTTGCCCACGGCCTCACCACTAGTCAGGAGCCAGGGTTCACATACAGGCCTGTGTGATTGCAGAGCCCTCGGTGTGAACCACCGGGATGGCCCAACTGTGGGGACAGGTACCCCTCCCTGAGGTGCAACAAGGGGCAGCCTCATGATAGATCAGGCCCAGGGCCCTGCTGGGTAACAGGTGACAGTCCTGAAGGCTGATCTCTTTCCAGGAAGTGGGGAGGAAGGAGCCTCAGTTTTTCCATCTGAGAAATGGGTTCAGCTGTCTTGCTGCCTCCTGGTCCTAGAAGTTGGAAGGGACCTTGCTGGGCTATTGTGGCTAATTTGTGGGGGACCAGGGGTGGGGGTACCCCAGGTACCTAAGGCTCTGCCCAGTTCTCAGATGCTTGCAGTAGGGCACCCCCTATAGCTGGGCCCAAACTACAAAATTTAAGGTCCAAACTCCAAAATTCTTCCGTCTCCCTGGGATATGTGGGAAGCCCGTCCATGGCCACAACCTGACCCCAGTGTCTCTAGGACATAGTTCTCAGCCCCCGACCCCTACTTCTCAGACCCACATTCAGGCCTTGGGCTGGCCCCTGGCCCACCAAAGCTGTTCCTTCTTCCCCCAGCCAGACTGGTCCCTCCAGCTTTCCCACACCAAGCAGAGCTGGGTGAGCCAGAGGCAGGAGCTGTAGCAGCCGTGGAGAAGAGCCAGGGCCATAATGAGAGCCACCTCTACCCTGGCATGGTGCCCGCCCCGCCAGCTTCAGCTCGTTGCCCCTTCCCTGCTGGCCTCGCCAGTGGCCTATGCCCTTCTGGCTGCCAGGACCCAAAACCATCCCAGCTCCACAGGGCAGTTCCCTCTGACCTTGCATCAGAACCCTTGGAGCTCCGCCTGCCATGTAAGATCACCCTTCAAAAAAGTCAAGTGGGGGTGTCCCTGGTGGCGCAGTGGTTGAGAGTCTGCCTGCCAATGCAGGGGACACGGGTTCGTGCCCTGGTCCAGGAAGATCCCACATGCCGCGGAGCGGCTGGGCCCGTGAGCCATGGGCGCTGAGCCTGCGTGTCCGAAAGTCAAGTGACTTATCCAAACCTTATGAAGCTAATAGGCCATAGAAGGGAGGAGGGAGTGATGACTCATATCCTGGTTTCCTGATTCCATACCATGGTTCCTTCCCCTCCATGGTCCCCAAACCACACCATCATTGTCTGCAGAGAGGGCCGCCCAGCCCCCAGCTCACTTCTGCACAGCCCTGTAATGCCTCACCACTCAAAATGTGGTCCAGGGCCCAGCATCACCTGGGAGCTGGTTAGAAACGGAGAGCTACACAAACATAAGGTCCTGTGAGATTTGCTAAAGTGAAAATTTGGGATAAAAAATGAAACTCTTTAGACCCCAAAAACGTCACTCAAATTGTATACATCTTTTATCTGCAAGGCACCTGCTATGTGATAGGTGAAAACTCCCACTTTGGTTTCTCTGTCCCTAACACCAAAGTCTGAATATGGGTCTGGGGAGACAGACCGACTGACATGTGGTAGGCAGGGCTCTAGACCACTGTGCCCAGGAAAAGCAGAGAAGACTCCAGAAGCTTCCAGGAATATAAAGAAGCACACATGGGAGGGGCACACCGGGAGTGGGGGCAAAGTTCTGCCCAGCTGGCAGCCCAGGTCTGAGCTATCTGCTCTGCGGAGAGCCAAAGAGCAGGCGGTGGGTGGGTGGATGGGGAGGGGGCAGAGGAGACAGGCTCGGCTCCACCTACTACTGAGCTTCTCAACTTCGCCACCCCTGCTGCTTGGGGCTGGATCATTCTTTTTTTTTTTTTTGCGGTACACGGGCCTCTCACTGTTGTGGCCTCTCCCGTTGCGGAGCACAGGCTCCGGACGTGCAGGCTCAGCGGCCATGGCTCACGGGCCCAGCCGCTCTGCGGCATGTGGGATCCTACCAGACCGGGGCATGAACCCGTGTCCCCTGCATCGGCAGGTGGACTCAACCACTGTGCCACCAGGGAAGCCCTGGGTCATTCTTTGTTGAAGGGTTGGTGGGAGTGTTGTAAGACGTTTAGCAGCATTCCTAGTCTACCCACTAGATGCCAGGTAGCACCCTACCTCCAGCTGTGACAACCAAATTGTCTTTAAACTTTGTCAAATGTCCCCTGCTGGACAAAATTGCCCCCAGTTGAGAGCCACTGAAATAGCAGAAAGAGCTGAGTGGCAGAGGGGGAACCTGGGGGCACCTGGGTCCTACTCTGATCCACGCATGGAGTACTCTAGGGCAAGTAACTTGCTGGCCTCAGTTTGTCCTTCTATGAAACGAGGCCTGGATTTCTTAGACCTTCTCAGCTCTAATGTCATGGGAGCCTAGAAGTCATTCCTCTCCTTGTTCCTCCCGCCCCACGAGTGGATGCCCCCATCTCTGCCTGCTTAGCATTGTGGAGAGGGAGGGGAACTCCTGTGAACCAAGCCCCAGGCTCTTCTCCGCTACCTGCACCCATCCCTGAAGGCATCTCCTGCCCCCAGGACCAGCTCTGCCTCCTTGGTCTGCTCCAGATGGAAGAGAGCTCCTCTTGGCTCCCTTATACCACCCTTCACCCCCAAACTAACATGTCTAAAATCAAACACTTCATCTTCCCCTGGGGAACCTGGTCAGCTGAATTCCTCTCAGGACTCATGGGTACCCCTCCCTCCCAAGCCCTCTGAGTCCTATTCCCCAATTTCCTGCTCATCTGGCCCCTCCTTTCTCCTCCAGGTGCCTAGGTCAAGGCTTTATGACCAATGCCCAGATCCCGGGTGACAGCAGGCACTGTGGTTAAGGCATGAGACTGTCTGGATTCTAATCCCCTCCCTGACACTTACTAGTGGTGACCCTGTGCAAGTCACTTCACCTCTCTGAGCCTCATTTTCGGCCTCTGGAATGGGGATAACATAAGGGATGCATGAGGAATTCATGACATAATTCGTGTAAAGCAGTAGCATGCAGTAAATGCCCACCCATGCCACCTAGCAGCAGCAGCATTGTTTTTGGAATCGTGACAGCCCCACTCACCCGGGCTGGTCCTGAGGGCACGACAGGTCAGACTCCAATGCACTGCCCCTGCCCTGAGTTGAGAGTTTAGACTTCTTAACTTGGCATTCAAGGCCCTGCATGATGGTGGCCCCGCTCTTTGCTCCAGGAGGGCCTCAAGAGGTGCCCTGGCCTCAGAGCCTACTCTGGGAACATCCACATGCCTCCCAGGCCGGCACACAATCCCACCACAGGAAAGCCAGAACAAGCTGCCCTGGTTGTCAGCCCTCAGCCTTTCTGGGCTCCCAGATTCAGGGAGGGGTGGGGATGTGGCTCTCTGTGTAGGACCAGATGCAGCAGGAGAATCAGCACTGCTATTGCCCTGGAAGGGAGACAGCTCCACCCAGGATCCCCAGTAGCCTTTACAGCTGCGTCATCTGACCTGCCCAGTCTCAGGGCAGGTGGGCAAGGGTCAGACCCTGTCTTGCAACTGAGGACACTCAGTACCAGAGAGGGTGGGTGTCTTCCCCAAGGTGACACAGTTAGTCTGGAATGAAGTTGGGGTGAAACTTTTCCCTTGAGAGGTTTTTACATCTCATTCTCTCCCGATCCCACATTCTGGATGTCCGGGAGGCCCCGCAGCCCCTGGATCAGGGAGAGGGATGAAGTGAAGCCGGCCCCTCAGGCCCAGGAACGGGAAGGAATGAGGGTCAGATGGCAGGACAGATGGGCGGGGCAGGGTGGGGCAGGGGAGGGATACCTCATCTCTGGCTCTAGTTGGGCCCTACCTGAGGAGCTGCCCACTGGACTCCGGGCCCCGGAGCTGCCGCTTCTACCTGAGTGCACAGATCAGCAGGTGTCTTCGGCCCCGCACTCACTAGGCACTTCCGGCTCCTCTAGGAGTGGGTGAGATCCCGGTTCCGCCCCTTCCACGAGCCAAGGGCGGCCTCTGCAAGTCCCAGTCCGTCTAGACTCCACCTCCCAAAAAGACCCCGCCCCGCCCAGTCCCCACGCCCAAGGGCGTCCTTTCACCTTATAGAGTGCGGGGCGAGGCCAGGCTCCAGGCTCCGCCCACTCCGGCTCCAGCCCGTCCCGCCCCGCGCTCTAGCGTTCCTCGAAGGAAAGTCCCAGTTGCCCGCCGCCAGCCCCACCTCCAGGAGCGGCGGAAAAGCAGAGTTTCCAATCGAGCCGACCTAAACCTTCCTGGCTTTGCTCCTAGCTCGCTGTGTGACTTTGGTAAATTCTTTCCCCAATCTGACCCCATTTTTCTACTTTGTCAAATGGGGTAGCCACCTTACAGGATTTTTGAGATTACCTGAAATGACTTTGTGAGGCACCTGGCGCTCAAAAGTCCCCTCTCGGGGGCAGCTTTGCCTCCCCCACCCCCAAGGCTGGACCGGACCCTCGTATTATACACTGACAGATCCCACAGCTGTAATTTCATATTCGCTTGAATAACTCTTTGATTATTGTCAGCCTCTCTGAATTTGAATTCCGTGAGAACAGGTCGCGTTCATCCTTACACCCCAGTGTCCAGTTCAGTCCTGACATACAGCAGGAGCTCAATAAATGCCCACTTTCCATTCCATCCAGTTGTTGCC